GCAGCAGTGTACACAGCCGTGCATAAGTGCTGCCGTCCGCCGTCCCCAGAGGAGTACTCACATCAGTTGTTGTTGTTGAGGGAACTGTGGGTGTGAGAGGATCGGCAGCGGCACTGTTTGTCTGGTCCGTTACGTGCACAACACCCTCTACTGAGTGAGGAAGGGCTTCACNCCACAACCAGCAGCAGCAGTGTACACAGCCGTGCATAAGTGCTGCCGTCCGCCGTCCCCAGAGGAGTACTCACATCAGTTGTTGTTGTTGAGGGAACTGTAGACGTGACGGGAGCGGCACCCAGAGTAGTAGTCACATCGGTTGTTGTTGTTGCTGTTGTTGTTGTTAAGGGCACTGTGGGTGTGAGAGGATCGGCAGCGGCACTGTTTGTCTGGTCCGTTACGTGCACAACACCCTCTACTGAGTGAGGAAGGGCTTCACTGCTCGTTGGGTCCGCTGCTGTCTCTCTCGCATCAATAGATTCTGGCTGCACAACGTTTTCGTCTTCCTTCCTTGGACCATCCTCAGTCGGCTCATTTTCGGTTTTCAGGTTCAGCGCGTCGTTAGCCGCCTTCGCCGCGTCTGCCGCCTTACCCGCTGCTGTTGTAACTCTGTCCGCAACCGTCAGAACAACCTCCTCTACCTTCCTCAGCATCTTCTCTGCTTCCTTCAGCTCCGTCTTTGCAGTCGGGATCTTTTGTTTGGCGGAGTTATCAGAACCCTCAACTTCTGCCGCAACCAAGACTAAGACATAGGCATCTCGAACACTCTCAGCTGCCTTCTTCGCGTGTCCCACAGCGCTGTTGGCGGTGCTCATTATGCTTTTAGCGCTCTCTGCCGCCTCAGTAAACAACTTATCCGCCTCAGCAGCCTTTGTCTCGGCGTCCCCAAATCCCGCTCCTGCAGCCTTCGCCTTCTGCACTGCCACCTTGGCCTTTTCCGCTGCTGCAGCGGCAGCCAAGGCGGCCCAGCTGGCATTGTTGGCCTCTTTGGACTCCTTCGCCAACAGCACAAGTTGCCACTTCGCTTGAAACAAAGCAGTCATGAGATCTTTCATTTTCGCAGCCTCAGGTACCTTTGTTATCAACGCAGCAGTATTCACTTCTCTTGCTGGTGCAGCTTCCGTTGATGGTACTTTTGCCGCTTTTATCTTATCTTTCACTGCTGTTTTTGCGGCCTCCACATTGATCCCTTCAAAGGCACTCTCTGCGGTCCTCATCACCAGCAAGGCCTTCTTCACCTGTGCATCAAGGGCGCTCGCCGCCGCTGTGGCCATTTTCGCCTCCGCCGCAGCGTCCTTCGCGGCCTCCAGAGCAAGAGCAGATGCGTCCCTCATTCGTCCCTCCGCAACCTGAGGAGGTGAAGCTCCTGCACCCCCAACCCCAGCACCAGCAGCAGCCGCAGCCATGCACAAGGACGTGCAGCAGCACAGCGCGAGGGCCAACACGCACAGCACGTGGCGCAGCATCAGCGTCAATGTAGCCTGGGACCACCTGTGTCTG